GACTGAAGGGTCCCGGGTTCGATTCTGGTCAAGGGCATGTACCTGGGTTGCGGGAACATCCCCAGTAGGAGATGTGCAGGAGGTGGCTGATCCATGTTTCTCTCTCATCGATGTTTCTAGCTCTCTATCTCTCTCCCTTCCTCTCTATAAAAAATCAATAAAATATATTTAAAAAAAAAAGATATGGTGATAAGATGAAGTATATGGTGTTGTCATGTTTTAGCTTAAGTTATTAAACAAAAGTTCTTTGTGTTTGTATCTTGAATCCTTTTTTTTTTTTTACCATGAAGCCATATTTGCTTGTAAATTTAATGCTAATCATCCATAGGAAATTGTCAGAGGAGTAGGAAAAGTTTCTAAGTATCTTAGTAAGAGTTTAGAAAAAACAAAGACAACTGTTTTAATGAGTGCTTTATTTAAATGTCATTGATAGCTTTGAAAAAGTCACTTATTTAATGTAAAATTAAGAATTGTTATTCTGTAGCCCAACAATTTTATAAATTTCTCTGATATTAAAAAGCACTAGAATAAATTGTATTTTTGTACTCTTAAGCATCAGCCAGATAGGATTAATATATGTCTTAAAGAAGATCTTGAAATTTCATGCCTCCAAATTATAGTAATTTCTTAGACTTTAGTGTAGCATCCAGACTCTTAATTATAAGGAAGCACAATGATTAATTTCAGTGATTGTGATTTGGTACACATGCACATTTAGATAGCTAGGAGTGGAATAGGAACTGAAGACAGTCTTGTTATAAATGTTAGGGTTCAAGGATAATAGAATCACCTCAGATTTGCCTTGTTTTAGGATGCCTTTCCCATATGTGCTTTGTACAGGTAAATTTTTAAGATATACATTTTGAAATTCTCAATGGCTTTACTTTACAGGAGAAGACAAATCAAGGCATTTTAAGTGGGTGTTTGCTCCACATTACATTTTCTTATCCCATCAAAAGCTTTTGAAGAGGTGGTGAAAGCATTTTTTGATAATTAAAGCTATTCTGGTTCCTTTCTTTGTGGGCACTAAACCTGGATTTGTACCCAGAGATTTGAGAAATCATGCATATTTTCTTTTTTAGTGACTAGAACACACTATAACACAACATTGTACAGTAAACTGTTAGGGAAATTTTGACAAAATTATTTTGAAACTTGAAACAGTCTTGAAAGAGTTAGAGCATTTTTTTCTTATCTAAGGAGAAAGTAAAGAAAGTTATTAAATACCTATGGAGTGCTAAGCATTGTGATAAACCCTTGAAGTTTTCCTTTTAAAAATATTTTTTTTATTTTTCAATTAAAGGCGACATTCAATATTATTTTAGTTTGAGTTGTACACCCCAGTGGTTAGACATTATATAACTTACTAAGTGATCACCCCAATAAATATCTTACCCATCTGACATAACTATTATAATATTATTGACTATATTCCCTATGCTGTACTTGACATCCCTTTGACTATCCTGTAACTACCAATTTGTACTCCTTAATCCCTTTACCTTTTTCACCCTTCTCTACAATCCCCCCTCCCATCTGGCATCCATCAAAATGTTCTCTGTATTTATGAGTCTATATCTGTTCTGCTTGTTTATTTTTTTTAGAGTTAATTGTTGTTTTTTTTTTTAAATTAATTTGGTCTTTTTTTAAAAAAATATATTTTATTGATTTTTTACAGAGAGGAAAGGAGAGAGACAGAGAGTTAGAAACATCGATGAGAGAGAAACATTGACCAGCTGCCTCCTGCACATCTCCCACTGGGGATGTGCCCGCAACCCTGGTACATGCCCTTGACCGGAATTGAACCTGGGACCCTTCAGTCCGCAGGCCGACGCTCTATCCACTGAGCCAAACCGGTTTCGGCAAGTTAATTGTTAATCAATATGTATTTATTGCCATTTTATTGTTCATATTTTTAATATTTTTTTTCTTTCTTGTTTTCTTCTTAAAGAAGACTTCTTAAAATAGACCCATTTCATGTTATGTTGGCTTGGTGGTGATGAACTCCTTTAAAGTTTTCTTGTCTGGGAAGCTCTTTATATGTCCTTGGATTCTAAATGATAGCTTTGCTTGGTAGAGTAATCTTGGTTGTAGGTCTTTGCTTTTCATCACTTTGAATATTTCTTGCCACTCCCTTCTGGACTGCATAGTTTCTGTTGAGAAATCAGCTGACGGTCTTATGGGAACTCCCTTGTTGGTAACTAAATGCTTTTCTCTTGCTGCCTTTAAGATGCTTTCTTTGTTTTGAACCTTTTGCATTTTAATTATGATGTGTGGGCCTTTTTGGGTTCATCTTGTTTGGGACTCTGTGCTTTCTGGACTTTTATGTCTATTTCCTTCACCATGTTAAGGAAGTTTTTCTATTATTTTTTAAAATAGGTTTTTGATTTCTTACTCTTTTCCTTCTGGCACTCCATAATGTGAACATTGGTATGCTTGAAGAGTTGTCCCAGAGGCTCCATATACTATCCTTATTTTTTGGATTCTTTTTTCTTTTTGTTGTCCTAATTGGGTGTTTTTTTGCTTCCTTATATTCCAAACTAGTGGCCCGGTGCACAGATTCATGCACATTGAAAGAAAATTAATTAGAAGAAATATTTTAGTATTGCTAGTCACCCTTTCTCTATAATAGAAGTGTCAACCAAATTAATGATTGACAGTGACAGTGTGATTGGCGCCAGTGAGAGTTTTACATGTACTGTGCATGTGAGAGTCAACGTTTATTTTTAAATTGCCAGTGTGCATCATATGTACCGGATGGTTGGACGTACGTATCGTAGGTCACTTAGCCTTTTATATATATAGATAGCTGTTTTGATTCTCAGATTCATCAACTCTCCTATTGATTCCCTTTAAAGTATTCTTCATTTCAGTTCATGTATCCTTCATTTCTGACTGGTTCTCTTTTGTGGTTTTCTTGTTCTTTTTCATTATGTTGAAGTTTTCACTGACTTCATTGCTCATCCTTATAACCATTGCTTTGAACTCTGCATCTAGTGAATTGCTTGTCTCCATTTTGTTTAGTTCTTTTTTGGAGTTTTGTTCTGTTCTTTCATTTGTGACATGTTTCTTTGTCTCCTCATTTTGGCAGCATCCTAGTGTTTGTTTCTGTGTATTAGAGTTGCTATGTCTCTCAGTCTTCGTTGAGTGGCCAAAATTGTAGTAGGTTTCCTGTAGGGTCCAGTGGCACAACCTCCCTAGTCACCCAACCTGGGCATTTCAGGCCTGGGACACTTAGACATATGGGGCATGCCGAGGCCAAGGGCAGATGCTGCTTGTTTGAGAGATTTTAGGAAAAGTCTGTAGCCTGAGCCAAGATAGGCCATTGGTATGGAAAAGCCACTGGAAACAGCTTGGGTGGGCCTGCAAGTTGGATGGGATGGGGGTCTCATGGAATCACAAGACAGGGTGAACAGTGTTAGCCAGATTGATGGAGACTCAGATATGGCTCCCGGCTATTGGCTTTGTGTGAGAAGGGCTCAGAAAAGGAACAGTGGCCTCTGCTAGCACTTCTTTTTGAGAGAAAACCACCATCCCAGACCTCGCCTTGATGCCAGACAGTTCCTGGTACCCTTCGAGCTGCTGCCCTAGCAATGTAGCTCAGAGGGCGTGAGTCCGTGTAAGTCCATGGCCGGCCCATTAAGATCCTTCCTTCTTGTCTCACACAATCACAATCCCAGCTGGTTTTTACAGCCAGAGTTGTGGGGACTTCTCTTCCTGGCATTGGAACCCTGGGCTCAGGGGCCTAGTTTGGGTCTGGGACCCCTCATTTCTTAGGGTGAACCTCTGCAGCTGAGATATCCCTCTTGATTTTTATCCGCCACATGTGGGTGTGGGACCGGCCAGTTCCGCATCTCCATCCCTCCTACCAGTCTGGATGTGGGTTCTTCTATATATCCTTAGTTTTAGGATGTCTTCTGTTCAGCTGGATTTCAGGTTCTGAATGATAGTTCTATAGTTTATTTGTAATTTTGATGTGGTGGTGGTAGGATGCAAGTACTACATTTACTTACCCCACCATCTTGACTGGAAGCCCCTAAAGTTTTCTAATTTTATTCCTTTTGCCAGCCCTTTGAATGTTATTAATACACAAAAAAGAGAGGCTAAGTTCCCCAGGCTCTTCTGTAGCTAATGATAACTGGAATATGTCAGAGTCCAGAATTATCTTCTTTCCATTGTTCATCTTCTCATGCAGTCCCTTGGATTTTTTTTTTTTTAAGATAAGCTTAAAATATTGTTTCTTGTTTTTTTGTTTTTCTTCAGGGAAGGAACAGTGAGAATGAATGCAAATGCATGTATAATAGTGCGGGGAAGGATTAGGAATAGAATGAGAATTGGTGGGTTTGATGTATATCATGAGGAGACAGTTGAAAGGCAATTTATGGCAGTTTAAACTGGTAGAGGTTATGGCAAAAAGTAGCTGTTAAGTATAAATGGAAGTTATTAATATTACTCTGGCGATTCTATGAATTGTCACATAACTTAATAAAGTTCTTTCTATTTGTTGGAAAGATGGATATTACTTATTTATATCAACAGAGACCATAGTAATAATTTAGATTTATAGCTTATGAATAAAATTATCAGAGTGCTCCTACATTATCTTATTTGGCAAGCATCTTCATTTTATAGATAGGAAAAACTCTTATGTAATAACTAGTGGCTCTTTTAATAAACACTTAGGTATTCTAAAGAGTGCTGCATTCACCCTGGCCATGTGCCTCTTGTGCACCGGAGGGTCGTGGGTTTGTTCCCTGGTCCGGGTGTGTATGGGAGGCAGCTGATCGAGGAACCTCTCTCACTTCAATGTTTCTTTCTCCTTCCCCCTTTTTAAAATAAAATAAAATAAAGAATGCTACATTGAGTATGTCTGGGGTAGAAGTGAAATAAATATATTGATTTCTTGGATAATTAAATGGAAGATGTGTGCATTATGTCAGGAAGGAAATGCATTTTAGGGTTTTGTCTTTTTCTTAAATGTTTGTATTTTTTATTTCTAGGCTGTTCGCTGCTACGAATCTCTAATCTTAAAAGCTGAAGGAAAAGTGGAGTCTGATTTCTTTTGTCAATTAGGTCACTTCAACCTCTTATTGGAAGATTATCCAAAAGGTAATTTTTCCCCTTGTTAATTACTGTTTGATTTATATATGTGTTTAAAATAATTGTGATAGTTTGTACCCTATCTTTATCAAGGGTACTACCAGTTTTACTTCTAAGAAATTGTAAGCTTATGAACATCCTAAACGAGGAAAAAAAAAAAAAAAAAAGGAAAGAAAAAAGCAGGATAGATGGAAATGTGAAGAATTCATGTAACTCTATGTAAATTATCTATATTCAGTTAAACTTATAGCCACCTACATGTGCACTACCGTTTTGTTCTACCTTATGAAAAATTCCTGCCCATCAAAGGTTGTATCATAGTAGAAAGTGAGCCATTGGTGGACACTTTAGAAAAATAACACAAACTCAGCATTTCTTTTTTTTTTATCCTGGCTATAAAACTTCCATTTTAGCTAGACCAGCGGTTCTCAACCTGTGGGTCTCAACCCCTTTGGCGGTCGGACGACCCTTTCACAGGGGTCACCTAAGACCATCCTGCATATCAGATATTTACATGACGATTCATCACAGTAGCGACATTACAGTTATGAAGTAGCAACGAAAATAATTTTATGGTTGGGTCACCACGTGAGGAACTGTATTTAAAGGGCCAGAGGTTGAGAACCACTGAGCTAGACAATATTTGAACAAAAATGTGATATGTAGCCATGTTATTTATTGTAAAGGTAAATAACACAGAGAGATGATCAGATATGAGCATGAGCATTGGTTAAAACAAGATTTTTATTCATTTGAAATTTTTTTTCCTATAAGAATTAAAGTGAGTTAAATAACTGGAGGTAGTCCCTGAAGAAGTGTCCTTTTTATTTTACTAAACTGCTGATCCCCCAACCATTACTCACTTAGGAAGTTGAAAGCACCCCCAAATATTATCTCCCTCAATACCAAAGGTAAATCTATAGCAAAAACTGCATCTTTATAAGCAAAAACATTTTAACCTTTGATCGTAGTAAACATCTTAATGTAGAGTGGTTGGATTTATTATGCTTGTTTCCACATATGTGTTTAGTGGGCAGAACAACTGGTAGGTAATTATAGGGCTAGAGTGAAGGATTGCTGGCATTTAGTATTGATGTTTTATTATGCCACTTTTGTGTTAAGTCAAGTGAACACTTTCCTAATGAAAATGCAATTTTAGTTTGAGACAGGTGTAATCTATGGATTTTGGAGTTAGGCATGCTTGCTTGCTTTTTGTTTTTTGTTTGTTTGTTTATTTATAGCAGCTCATCTCTATTGTTTACCATTAGCTGCACTACCATCAGCAGATTATATATACATCCCAGGGCTTCTGTCTTCTAATCTAAATGAGGGGAGGAGGCTACAGCTTAGACGTTTTGGGATTGTTATGTGAAACTGGTATTTAGCAAGTTGACTTCAGGATAACAGACAATAATTATTTAATACTCTATTAGATGTTTTTATTTTAATTAAATTAATAAGTTATTTAAAGGAAACCATTACACAAAAGAAACATAATAGGTATCTGTGCAATCTAATTTTTTAATGCTGCACCTTTGTTTTTGTTTTTTTTGTACAGCACAGTAATTTGAGAGCACATAAATAGAGACCCAAACTTGAAAATTAGGTTTGCATGTGGGCCTTATATCCTTGCTGCTTATAGATCATTAAAATATGTATTAGCTTTTTAAAAAAATATTTTTAATGATTTTGGAGAGGAAAGGAGAGGGAGAGAGAGTTAGAAACATCGATGAGAGAGAAACATCGATCAGCTGCCTCCTGCACACCCCCTACTGGGGATGTGCCAGCAACCAAGGTACACGCCCTTGACCAGAATCGAACCTGGGACTCTTCAGTCCACAGGCCGACGCTCTAGCCACTGAGCCAAACCAGTTAGGGCTGTATTGGCTTTGAAAACTATTAGTTTATGAATTTAGCTACATTTTCCATTTATAACATGTTTGGCTGTGAAAGTAATGAAGAATACAAAAATACTTGTTTTGGAAGGTGCTTTTTTCTTTTTTGGAAGGTGAGGTAGGGGGCATGTGTCAACTGGACTATATTGGCAGACTAGCTGGAGGAAATAATCTAATAAAATGGGAAAACAGAAAGATAACCTAAGGATTTAAGTCTTTGAAAAGATGTGCTCTTAGACCCACTTACCGTTGTGTAGATGAACTGGCCATTTATAGGTCATCAGTAGGTTGATCCTTTGTTATAGGAAGAAGAGGAATGAGAGGATAGATGCAGAGGTATGCATTTTAAGTATTTCTAGCTGATGGCTTGTATTTCCTAGATGTGATTTGTTGTGTGTTTTTTTAATAATCCTTGAAGTTCTATTGACCACATTCCCACTTAAAAAATTCCTTTAAAAATACCAATTATTGAATTATTTCTATCCATTCTCTTCACTGTCTTCCTGTAAGTCCGAAACTAGTAGCCCTCACACACCCTACCACCACCACTACCAATTGATTGGAAACATTTGTTACCTCAGGCTGCTTCACTTTTCTCTCTTTGGCACCAGGACAAAATGAAAACCTCCAACCCCAGCCAAAAAAACATGTATTTTTAGAGAACAGATTATATAGCATAACTTTTTGGGGAGTATACATAAGACTTGCAGTGAACATGTGAATAAACTGCTCAGGTATATGTATGTGGGGGACTTAATTGGCCCTGTTATTGTGAAGATAGTTCTTTATTGTCCTGAGTCGTCATTGTTGTGTGAAATTTTCTGAGTTTGGAATTCCTTGTGAAAAACTGATTCTATTTTTATACTAAAAAATGGTAGAATGCTACTCTTTTTTGTTCACACTTTTGGATTGTGGTTTTTCTCTTCTTCTTTGTCATTCTGGTCCCATCTGCTTCCTGTCTTATAGGAATTCCTAAAAATTTTCTGATCTGCAGATGGTATACTTTGATTATCATTCCTGTTATAGATTTATTCATTAAAATATTTTTTCTGTCATTTTAGATGAATTTGAAGCAGAAGGAAAAAAGGCTTTGTAAAATTTTAACCTTTCTTGTTGATAATGTGTATAGTCTAAAAACATTGCTATCACTTAATCAGGTCATTTGGCTTCTAGGAATTTATCCTGAAAAAGTAATTGATCTAGGTTGGATTCCTCTAGAGCAGTGGTTCTCAATCTATGGGTCGCGATCCCTTTGGGGGTCGAACGACCCTTTCACAGGGATCGCCTAAGACCATCGGAAAACACATATCTAATTACATATTGTTTTTGTGATGAATCACTATGCTTTAATTATGTTCAATTTGTAACAATAAAATTGGGGGTCACCACAACATGAGGAACTGTATTAAAGGGTTGCGGCATTAGGAAGGTTGAGAACCACTGCTCTAAAGGGAGTTTACATACAGGATGTTTAGTAAGGAATGCCTTTAGGATCAACACCTGTGGAAGGTGGGGATGGAACTAAGATTGGACAGAGGGAGATAACTTCCGTGACAGCCTTGGCCTACTCCATCGGGAGCTCTGGAGCTAGAATAGATGACTAGGTCTTTATCTTCCATCCATTCGATAATGAATGTGGGCCAGCCTGGGAAGGACTGTGACTTCAGCAAGGAAGCTCTCTGCAGCTAAGGCATTTCACTGCTAGAGGCTGTGTGCATGTAGGATTCCCAACAGTCCTTTCTTCAAGTGGGATTTGAGTGGTTTTTCATTGTCTTATCATACCGCCTCACTCCTAACCTCAAAGCTAACCCATTGACCTCAGCTGAACCAAACAGCTGATGGAGCTGTTAAACTGCCTTCAGCCATGGAGATGGTGCAGTGATTTCTCTTCTTTGGGTTGGAGAACAACTCGAGAAGCAGCGAACCCTGGGCTGAAAGGCAAGCATATATAATCCCCTTGTGAATATATGTGTTGGAGCCTTGGAGCAGTGTAATTAATAGAATTATATGTAAATATCAAGTAAATATGTGTGGCACATTATATGAGAGGGTAATCACTAAGTTAGTTACTTAGAAAATCAAGTAGCAGATTACCTCAGCGTATACAGCAAAATCACAAAAAAATAGAAACCACGAGGTAAGAGACTAGGGCAAGGGTGGGCAACCTTTTTGTGAGTGCATGCCAAAACCAGCAAAATCTCTGACTTAAAATTCTTCTGTGTGCCAACCCTAATTTTTTGAGAACATGTTACGCCTACTTGATAACTCTCAAGGTGTATGTATGTGAAGAACCTTGAAGAAATAAAATTCATTCGAGCGACAAAAACACAGTATATGATGATGAAAAATACATTTATTTTTTAATGTATACATGTACACTGACAGTCCAACAGAAAACTTTCTGACTCCGTTTGATATTATCAGTGGGACTTTGGTTGCTGCATCACTGATGACAGAGATTTGACATCAGGTTTCTATTTCGTGACCTTCAGAGATATGCACGAGCTACTACTTCCATCCGTCAGGCTACTCCTATTACGAGATTTAACAAAATTCATCACTTGAGAACAAAGATTCACAAGCGTATGTGGATGAAACCAAAACACTGGTCGGATCTAGGAAGGCAGGGAGAGTTAAGGCAGAGGCATAGAAATTGCTCTTCCCCTCTCTCGTCAGTCCATGTCTATGGTCTTTAAGATAACTTGTTATGTAAAATTATTTATCTAAGATGCACCTACACTGAATTTATCTGAAAAATAAAAAAGTCGATATTAAGAAAAAAATTGTAAATGGAAGATGATAAGAGAGGGTTTCGCGTGCCAGCAAAAGTTATTGGCGTGCCATGTTTGGCACGCGTGCCAGGGGTTGCCCACCCCTGGACTAGGGGATGGATAAGTAAGAGTTTTGGAAGTTAAAAAAAAATTAGTTGAAGGAGATATAATAATTATTGCTGATATTAGTATGAAAAACTAAAAAAATAGATTCTTTCTGGTTTGTTTAAAAATAGTTTCTTCCTGGTTTGTGGTGAGCTAGAAGCTTTTCCTGAAATTCCAGCCAGTGATAGATTTTCCTTCCTCAAGTAATTGGTCATTTGTTGCATTGTCTGTCACTTTTGGGCAAAATAGGTTTTCATTGTTTTAGTTACAATTGGCTAGGACAAGTTACTTACATTCCAAGCGTTGTTAATGTGGGGAAGTCAAGTCAGAATTGGCGCGCTCTCTCTTTTTTGATTGGAATGACAATACTCCATCTTGAGATAGATAGATATAGATATAGATATAGATATAGACATAGATATAGATATAGATATAGATATAGATATAGTATAAAAACAGAAAGCACATATTTTTTCAATAACTTTGACTTTGGTTTCTTTAAGAATTATCAATTTTTTGATTTTTGCATGGTTCACTTATTGCTATGGCTGTTGGAAGTAAAGGTTGTGATTCTTTTAAGAATCTGCTCTTTGTTTAAAGCTTCTTTCAGATAGTTATTGGGAATTAGTTTGTATAGCATATATGTTTGCGATACAATACAAATTGACTTTTGAAATAAAAATGATATAAAAATCCAGAACATTGGCGTATACTGACATAATATCCACAGAATGAATATTGTGTATCTCTGAAAACTGATGCAGTTTAAGGTGATTGTTTCATGTTTTCATTGCATTCACAGTTATTGCACCCTATTTTTCCATATAACTTCATAAATGTATTTTTTTTTAACCACTAATACCTTCATTCACTTTCTTTACAATTTGAGAACCACCAATTTTCTTCAGTCTACTCGTGGCCTAGAGTTAGAAAATATAATTGAGAAATAACTGCAAGTAAGCACAATAATGACCATACCGAGGTTGGTAGAAGCCTGTGTCCAGTCAACAAGCAAACGTTACAGTAGCTTCAAGAACCAGGGAGCTGGTGGCAGAACATATTGAAGGAACACAAAGAAGACACCTACTTGGTGTCTCTTGTGGTAAGCCAAATGTGAGATACAAAGACCTTGCGTATGTTATTTTAATAATGACAGAGAAGTATTAAATCTTAGATTTCAGTAGATGTATTAGTTTGACTTGAAGACCTCAGTGAAAATACTGACACAGGAGTAAACTTTCCTAATTTCCTGTTTGCTCCTCTCTATAATCTGAACATGGGATCAAAGGTCTGTTGTGGTAGATGCTGTCCAGGGTTTTTTTTCAAATGTTAATATATATTAATATAAATGCTATATATATAACGGAAGGTGTGCTTTAGACATAGATTTGAAAAGGTAGAAAGCTGACTAGAGAGCTAGGCACATCAGTCATTTATATACAATGAAACAGTTAATATAAGCTCTCTGAGATAGCATTTATCCCAAGGTATAAATACAGTTTTTCAGTTCAGCCAGAGAAAAACAAAGAAATCTACTGACTTAATAACCTTAGGCAACCACAACCTGTTCTGACCTAAAGATGGCAGTCAGTGCAACTGACAGATTTTGTGTTCTTTCCTTTCCTTCCCTTCCATACCCATAGACTCAACCACTAGCAGCTAACTTGCCTATAGTGTTACACATTGGGCTAGGGATGAAAAGAGAAATGCTGAGTTCTGCCTGAAGTAAATGTATGGTCTAATATATAATATAGGAGTATAGATTGAATTTTAAAGCCTTTTCTTTATTACATTTATAGTGCATCTAACTGTGAAGAAGGCTCCCTTTTTCTGGCAAAGCTATCACCCTTAACCTACAGCAGTGATGGTGAACCTATGACACGCATGTCAGAGGTGACACGCGAACTCATTTTTTTGGTTGATTTTTCTTTGTTAAATGGCATTTAAATATATAAAATAAATATCAAAAATATAAGTCTTTGTTTTACTATGGTGGCAAAGATCAAAAAATTTCTATATGTGACACGGCACCAGAGTTAAGTTAGGGTTTTTCAAAATGATGACACGCCAAGCTCAAAAGGTTCACCATCACTGACCTACAGTGTGGCTTCTTTTCTTCCTTGTGCTGTCTGTATGGACTTGTCACTAGGCATGCTTTCTTTCTCTTCTTTTGACAATCTTAACTTAGAGCCATAATATTTCCAAGCATGTTCAAGTCTCTGTCACCTACTAAATCCTTATCCCTTTTTATTTCCTCACTCTGTTTCTATAGATCTCTATTTTGTTTAATTCCAAACGAGCTGTAGTATGGCTTTGGATTTTTCTTTTTATTCTTCAGTTATACCGTACGCCCCGCCCCCCCTTTTTTAATCTTTATCCCATGACATGTTTGTTTTTTTAAATTGAGAGAGAGAGAGAGAGAGAGAGAGAGAGAGAGAGAGATTGGTTGACATCTTTATGCCAAAAAGATGAACATTATTCAAATAAGTTACTTATTCAGATATGTTATGTTTTGGCTAATGCTTCTCTAATTTGAATATATTCAGAAAGTTCTCTATGTTTTTCATATGTATTTAGGCGCTTGACTGATAGACTATGAAAACATTAGAAATGGAGTTTTAGAACATACTTATTTCCATTTTCTGCTATTATACTCTTTGAAAATCTTATTTGAAAATTTGAGTCATTTTTAAAAATTGAGGTATAATTGAAATATAATATTAGTTTCAGGTGTATAGCATTTGGTATTTGTATATATTGGGAAATGATCACAGAAAATATAGCTAACATCCATCACCATACATATTTACAAAATTTTTTTTCTTGCGATGAGAACATTTAAGATTTACTTTCTTAGCAACTTTCAAATATAGTTATGTTGTACATTACATCCCCATGACTTATTTATTGCTCATCAGTTTTTTAAAAAGTGATCTCTCCGCCAATTCTAATATGTATATATAACTTTTTGTTTGTCTTTTAACCTCCTCCTCACCAAGTTCTTAAATTGATAGGAACTACTTTAATTTTTTTCTGAGCCCTTTATTACCTTGAGGTAGATTTAAGGGTATAGGATATCCTATTTTGGAATTGAGTTGGAGTAAGATAATTCTGAGGTGGATTTCTTATTGATTGTATGAAAGGAAGCTTCACAGACAAAATAGCTCTTTTGCCATTTGAGGTTTTTGAGCTCTTAGTCATTCTTGTAAGTTAAAGATCCCTTGTGAAAACAAATAACCTAGCATATTCTGGAGTAGCGTTGGGAAATCTTAATTCTCTTACTAGATTTGGCCTCTGTGGAAGGTCAAGTTGATGGAAGAGGTAGCCTAGATTCTGTTCATGTATAGGTCTGACATGTGACCATGGTTTTACAACCTTGAACTCCATATATTTGACAATGTGTGTGTGTGTGTGTGTGGGGGTGGGTGTGGGGTGGGGGGGGGCGTAGATTTCTAAATTTTCTAAATTATTTCATTTTAACTCTGCTGGGTGGTGGGTTTGGTGGGAAGTTTGTTATAATGTTTCTTGTATTATTGATTTTGAAATAGGACATAATTGTGACTCATACTTACCTTTCTCCTTTCAGCATTATCTGCATACCAGAGGTACTACAGTTTACAATCTGACTACTGGAAGGTTAGTGCACATTTCCATGCCTATTTCTCTGTGTGTTTTTTTTTTTTTTGGGGGGGGGGGGCTCTTTTATTTTGTTTAAGTAATTTTGTTAATTTCTTTTAAATATTACTTTTAGGGAGAGGGATTGGAAAAGGAAAAATGAGTGTTCTTTTTGCTCTTTTGTATGAATCACTTTGTATTTTATTAAAAGAATTAGATTACTCTGACACAATCTTTTGGCAAAGATGACCGTAAGCATGAGAATTTATAATTTAAAAATATGTTTTTATTGATTTCAGAGAGAGAGAGAGAGAGAGAGAGAGAGAGAGAGAGAGAGAGAGAGAAACAGAAACATCGTTGTGAGAAACATTGATCGGCTGCTGCATCTTGCACACCCCCTGTGGGAATTGAGCACACAACCTGGGCATGTGCCCTTACCGGCCTATTAGAAACTGTTTTCTAGAGTACCGTACCACTTTATAGTTTCACCAGCAATTGTTCCAATTTCTTCATATCCTTGTGAACACTTGTAATTTTTCAGTTTTTTTTAAAATATATATTTTTTTATTGATTTTGGAGACGAAGGGAGAGGGAGAGAGAGAGAGAAACATCAATGATAAGAGAGAATCAGCCATTGGCTGCCTCCTGCACACCTGGGCATATGCCCTGACGTCCTTGTTCCTAGGGTGATGCTCAACCACTGAGCACACTGGACGGGCTGTTCAGTTTTTTAGTGTAGCCATCCTAGAAGATGTGAACTAGTATCTTATTACATTTTTCATTTGCATTTTCCTAATGACTGATAATGTTGAATATCTTTTAATGAACACATTAGCTATTTATATATATTCTTTGGTTAAGTGCCTGTATAAACCTTTTGCCTATTTTTAAATTTGTTTTTTTAAAAATTAGTGCATTGTATGAGTGTATAAATAAGTGGCACAACATATCAATGGTTCTCTTTCTTTCTCCCTCTTAAATCAATTTTAAAAAATTAATGCATTGTAAGAGTTCTTTATGGTACATTCCTGTTACAGTGAATCACTTATTGGATATGTAATTTGAATTTTTCTTAAGTCTGTGGCTTTTATAGTTACTTCTTGATGGTATATTTGATGGCTTGTATAGCTTGCTTTATTTTTTTAATTTTTTTAAAAAATATCTTTATTGATTTCAGAGAGGAAGGGAGAAGGGAGAGAGATAGAAACATCAATGGTGAGAGGGACTCATTGATTGGCTGCCTCCTGCATGTCCCCTACTGGGGATCAAGCCCACAACCTGGGCATGTGCCCTTGACCAGAAACGTACCTGGGAACCTTCAGTCCACAGGATGAAGCTCTATCCAACTGAACCAAACTAGCTAGGGCAACTTGTTTTATTCTTGATAGTATATTTAGAACTGCAAAAATGTTTAATTTTGATAACATCCAATTTTGCAACGTTTTCTTTTATTACTTATGTTTTTGGTATTGTACCTAGGAAATCTTTGCCTACCTCAAGGTCATGATGATTTATTATAGATTATTCAACCTGTTGCTTCAGTATTGTCCTTTACAGATGGCACCGCAATAAGTAGTAAAAGTGTCTTCTCATGATGTTGTTAGCAATTCTTTGGTATAAAGACTCTTTGGTAAATTATTCTTTATTTCAGTCAGTGTATGCTTAATTTCTAGTTGGTCCTTTTTCATGTCCTCCATGGTCTCACTATACTTATTGAGGGATTCATTAAATTTATCGGCGGTTTCCATAAAATTCTTGAAAAACCTTATAAACGTGGCCTTGAACTCTATATCCAATCGTTTGCTTTCCTCCATTTCTGCCATTTGTGACCTGTTTCTTTGTCTCCGCATTTTGGCAGCTTCCCTGTGTTGATAGAGTGGCCCTGTGCGCCAGGTGTCCTGTAGGGCCCAGTAGCTCAGCCTCCCCAGTTACCTGGGGTGGACACTCTTGGTGCACTCTTGGTGCCTTGGTTGTTGTAGAATCACTGGGAGGAATTGACCTCCAGGCCAATTGGCTGTGAGAATCAGCTGTGTCTAAAGTGGGAGAACTTCTGTGCTGAAGACACCCTTCTGGGGCAAGACTTGCTTCAGTGGGGCTTTGGTACTCACTGAGTCTGCTCCCTGAGTGTGACCCTTATGGATCTGAGGAGTTGCAGTCTGGATAGCCCCCCTCTGACCACTGGGTACAGTGGCTCCTGGATCTAAGGAGGTGCTAATTCAGCCTCTGCCTGAGGCCACACAGCAGGAGCCACGAAGAGGCTCAGCTGTGAAGCAATGCAAGCCGCTGCGGGGCCTTGGGCCTTCTCTTGGAAGTTCCGGGTCTGCCTGGTTCGGCTGCAGTTAGGTACATTCACATGCAAAAGCCTCTGCCGCAGCCTGGGTGGGGCGGGGTCTCAGGGAGTCAAAGGGCAGAGAAAGCAGCTGTGGCCGATTCTCCGCCCGGAGTCGCGCGCCTCAGTGTCCCGGTAACGGCTGCAAGCACCTCTGAGGGAAAGCCGCCCTCAAGTTCGCCCGCTGCCCGACAGACCAGCCTCTCCCCATATGAGTCCTGGGTCCCAGAGACTTCCCGGAACCGGAGTTCAGAGCAGTCGGGAGTTTGTGATTCAAGAAGACAGCCGCGTCCTCAGGCGCCACCCCCTTTCCTCGCGCGCGCGAGCCGCCTTACCTCTGCACTTCACCTCCGCAGCGCCTCTGGCTCTCAGCGTGCTTTTCTTTCCTTCTAGTTGTAGAATTTACACTCAGCCAGCCTTCCTGTTGTTCTGGATGATGTAGAATAATTTACAGAGATCCAGCAGCAGACAAGAGGATCCCAAGAATCAAGTCAAAGATTTGAAATACAAAGAAACAAAAAATACCCAACCGAAAAAGAAAAAAGAAAAGAGATTCCAAAAATATGAAGATAGTGTAAGGAACCTCTGGGACAACTTCAAGCGTACCAACATCAGAATTATAGGGGTACCAGAAGGAGAGAGTGGGCAAGATGTTGAAAACCTTTTTGAAGAAATAATGACAGAAAACTTCCCCTACCTGGTGAAAGAAATGGACTTACAAGTCCAGGAAGCGCAGAGAACCCCAAACAAAAGGAATCCAAGGAGGACCACACCAAGACACATCATAATTAAAATGCCAAGAGCAAAAGATAAAGAGAGAATCTTAAAAGCAGCAAGAGAAAGACAGTCAGTTACCTACAAGGGAGTACCCATACGACTGTCAGCTGATTTCTCAACAGAAACCATGCAGGCCAGAAGAGACTGGCAAGAAATATTCAAAGTGATGAATAGCAAGAACCTGCAACCAAGATTACTTTATCCAGCAAAGCTATCATTCAGAATAGAAGGTCAGATAAAGAGCTTCACGGATAAGAAAAAGCTAAAGGAGTTCATCACTACCAAACCAGCATTATATGAAATGCTGAAAGGTATTCTTTAAGAAGAGGAAGAAGAAAAAGGAACTCTTACCATTTGCCACAGCATGGATGGAACTGGAGAGCGGATAAATACCACATGATCTCACTCATTTGTGGAATATAATGAACAACATAAGCTGATGAACAAGGACTGATCCAGAGACGGAGAGGCATTGATTGGACTGTCGGGACTTGGAGGGAAGGTAGGGGAGGGTGGGGGTAAGGGGGAAAGATCAACCAAAGGACTTATATGCAAGCATATAGGCCTAATCAATGGACATGGACAACGGGGGGTGAGGGCATGAGCGGGGGGGGGGGGGGAAGAGGGTAACGTGGGGACAAGGACACATATGTAATATCTTAATCAATAAAAAATATATTAAAAAAAAAAGACTCTTTGGTATAGAGTTCTTCGTAAGTGGGATTGCTAGGTGAAAGCTTAATTGTTAAATACCACTCCTTTGGGAATATTTATTTCCCTTTGTTCTTAACCTGGAAAGTTTATGTCAGTGGGCTTTATGCCAATCTGATAGGTCAGAAATGGTGTCTTATTGTTTAAATTTGTATTTTCTTAGTTGTTTTTGTGTTTGGTTTTTTTTTTTTGTTTGTTTGTTTATTTTGTTTTGTTTTTTGTTTTTTCTTTTTTTTTTTTATTGCTTAAAGTATTACAAAGGGTATTACATATGTGTCCATTTTATCCCCCCGCCCTAGACAGTCCCCTAGCCTCCCCTATCCCCCAATGTCTTATGTCCACTGGTTATGCTTATATGCATGCATACAAGTCCTTTAGTTGATCTCTTACCCCCCTACCTCCTGCCCCGCAACCCTCCCCGGCCTTCCTGCTGCAGTTTGAAAATCTGTTTGAGGCAGCTCTGCCTCTGTATCTATTATTGTTCAAAAGTTTATAATGGTCTCTGTTATCCATGAATGAGTGAGATCATGTGGTATTTTTCCTTCATTGACTGGCTTATTTCACTTAGCATAATGCTCTCCAGTTCCATCCATGACGTTGCAAATGGTAAGAGTTCCTTCCTTTTTAGAGCAGCATAGTATTCCATCGTGTAGATGTACCACAGTTTTCTAATCCATTCATCTACTGATGGGCACTTAGGCTGTTTCCAGATCTTAGCTATGGTGAATTGTGCTGCTATGAACATAGGGGTGCATATATCCTTTCTGATTGGTGTTTCTGGTTTCTTGGGATATATTCCTAGGAGTGGGATCACAGGGTCAAATGGGAGTTCCATTTTCAGTTTTTTAAGGAAACTCCATACTGTCTTCCATAGTGGCTGCACCAGTCTGCATTCCCACCAGCAGTGCACAAGTGTTCCTTTTTCTCCACGTCCTCTCCAGCACTTGTCGTTTGTTGATTTGTTGATGATAGCCAGTCTGACAGGTGTGAGATGGTACCTCATTGTTGTTTTGATTTGCATCTCTCGGATGATTAGTGACTTTGAGCATGTTTTCATATGTCTCTTGGCTTTCTGAATGTCCTCTTTTGAAAGGTGTCTATTTAGGTCCTTTGCCCATTTTTTGATTGGATTGTTTGTCTTCCTTTTGTTAAGTTGTATGAGTTCCCTATAAATTTTGGAGATTAGGCCCTTATCAGATATGAC